ACTGTCTTCTGGTGAGAAATTTTTGGCAAGCCGTGTCATAACTCTGGTTTGCCTTCCCTACACTGCAGTGATTCATTCCGGTATCAGTTTTCAAATTTCTTCGGTCACCAACGAACTGCCGCCGCCATCCGCCGATGTAGTTACTGTTTCTGGCCACCTTCCAGCAAACTAATCCTACCGGAAGAAGCGCCTCTTCCGATCTGTTCAATCCCATCCTTTTTTTTCACCGCCCCACTCGTCACCTTGCAACTATTTCAAATCTGATACTCATGGCTACTCCTCAGAACATTACGCCAAACTACGATGATTTCCTCAGGTGGTATCAGAATTATTAGAACTTAGATTCTACTACTTCGGTTGCACATGCTGGTAATCCATTTGCTTTCCTCTCTCAATCATCTTCTCTTAGACCTTAGGTCCTTGATTCTGGTGCGTCTGAGCATGTTATTGGTGATAAAAATATTTTCTCTTCCCTCTCTACCTCTAGTTTCTTACCTACTATAACTTCCGCCAATGGTTCTCAAACTCGATCTGAAGGAATTGGTATTTTTCAAATTCTACCTTCTCTCTATGTCACTTATGTTCTTTATGTACCTAATTGTCCCTTTAATTTACTTTCAGTCAGTTGTTTAACTCGTTATTTTGATTGTATTGTCACCTCCCTTAATAGTAATTTCACCCTGCAGGATCGGAGTTTGGGACGGACAATTGGCGTCGAATGTGAGTCTCAAGGACTTTATTACCTCTCAGTGTCATCTCAGACATGCTCAGCCAAAGATTCTCCACTCACTATCCATGTTCAGTTAGATCATCCTAAACTACAGAAGTTGGTGCCAAGTTTATCAAAGGTATCTAATTTACAATGTGAGTCGTGTCAGTTAGGGAAACACACTTGTAGTCAATTTTGCAATCGAGTCAATAAACGAGCTTCGTCCCCTTTTGCTTTAGTTCACTCTGATGTTTGGGGTCCCTCATGTATTGTCTCTACTCTTGAGTCTATGTATTTTGTCACTTTTATTGATGATTTTTCATGTTGCACGTGGTTATTTTTAATGAAAAATAGACCAGAATTATTTTCTATTTTTGAAAAATTTTATAAAAAGATAAAAACTTAGTTTGGTGTGTCTATTTGTACTTTAAGAAGTGATAATTCTCATGAATACTTATCCCAACAATTTTAAACTTTTATGTTCAGTAATGGTATTCTCCACCAAACATCTTGCCCTCGTGCACCTCAACAAAATGGGATAGCCGAACGCAAAAGTTGGCATCTCGTAGAAACCACTTGGACCCTACTTCTCCATGGTAATGTTGCACTTTTATTTTAGGGGAACGTTGTGCTAACAGCGTATTACCTTATAAATCACATGTCATCATTTGTCCTTAACAATAAAATTCCTCATTCAATCATTTTCCCCATTTCCCCCTTCACCTAATTCTTCCCTGAGTCTTTGGGTTTACATGTTTTATACACAATCTCTCTCCTGGTCTTCATAAACTATCAGCTCGATCACTAAAGTATGTTTTTCTTGGTTATCATTTATCCCAAAAAGGTTATTGTTGCTATTCACATACTCTACAACGATACCTCATGTCAATCGATGTCACCTTCTTTGAGCCTGTTCCATATTTCGCGTCCAGCCAAGTAACTCTGGAAATCCTTCAGGAGAGTACTCCCACACCTCTTTTGAAAGTCCCATATGTCATTATCCCCCATCATTCTAGGAAACCTGGCCCTATAGATAACTCTACGGTTAACCCTCTGATTTCTCATCCACTTTAAACATATCAGCGTCATTAACCAACGTTTGTCGTACCTGTCCCTGAGATTGTACTTGTCCTTGTGGTTGTACATGTCCTTGAGGTCATTGTTAGGGGTGGAAATAGGTCAGACCGATAACAGGGGCCTACGGTCTAGTCTACATAGGCTCAGGCTACGACCTAGCTTACATAGGCTCAAGCCAGACCTAGGTTTTTTTATAAGGCTAGGTTTCAGGCCATAAAAAATCCTTTTAGGCCTAACAGGTCGGCCTATATAAATAAATATGAATAATTGTTTTTATTATTATTATGTTATATTTTGTACTTTGAATTAAAATACATAAATAAAACTTAGTTATCTTGGAGAACTTATGAAAATAAGATGAAAACACCTTATGAACAATGTTATAAGTTATTTTCACAAGTCCTCTTAAATAAATAGTCTCATAAAACTTATGATAATTGGTAAGTTAAAATAAACCAATGCAAACAAACTTTTACTCATTGGTTTTTTAGTTTGTTAGTCTATTTAAATATTATTTAAATTACTTATTTACATATGTCTAAAATAATAGGCTTTTAAATAGGCTAACAGGCTAACCAGGCCTTAGAAAAGGCCAGGCTCAGGCCTAAGAATAAGCCTGTGACGGGCTACAGACCAAGCTTAGGCTTTAGTTTTTTTGACAAACCAGGCTTAGACTTGGCAAAGCCTAACTCGACCCGGCCTATTTCCACCCCTAGTCATTGTAGACTCTCCTCCGACGCTCTCTCCATCACAGGATCCGATCCTGCAACCTGAGTCCGATATTTCGATTACCCTTCAAAAAGGTATACATAAAACACGAAATTCTTCTCCACATTATATTGATTTATGATATCATCGTCTTTCCCCTTTGTAGTATACTTTTTTGTCTTCTGTTTCTATTCCTAAAACTCCACTTGAAATATCATATCACCCTGAGTTGAAGCAAGAAATGATTGGTGAAATGTGTGCTCTTCAAAACAGTGATATCTGGGAACTAGTTCCTCTACCCCCTGAGAAATGTTTAGTAGGTTGTTGTTGACTTTATACAGTGAAAGTTGGTCCAGATGGTAAGATTGATCGATTTAAAGCTCGCTTGATAGCTAAAGGATACACTCAAATTTTTGGGTAGGATTATAGTGATACCTTCTCGTCTGTAGCCAAGATGGCATCTGTTAGACTTCTTCTAGGCATTGTAGCCATTTGACATTGGTCTTTTCATCAACTTGACATCAAAAATATATTTTTACATGGTGATCTTGAAGAGGAAGTATATATAGAGAAACCACTTGGGTTTGTTGCTCAGGGGGATTTATCGAATATAGTTTGTAGGCTACACAGATCTCTTTATGGTCTTAAGCAATCTCCGAGAGCTTGGTTTGGCAGATTCAGCATTGTAGTACAATAATTTGGTATGGTCCGTAGTGAAGTTGAATATTTTGTCTTTTATTGTCACTCAGCCTAATGATGTATTTATATTGTTGTGTATGTAGGTGATATTGTCATAACTGATAATGATGACCAGGTAATACTCCAGTTGAAACAACATCTCTCGAATCAATTTTAGACAAAAGATCTTGGTAAATTTAATTATTTCTTGGGTATTGAGGTAGCACAATCTAAAGATGGTTTGGTGATTTTTCAGCGAAAATATGCTATAAATATTTTAGAAGAAACAAGTTTGTTAAACGCTAAATCAACTGATACTCATATGGATCCAAGTGTCAAACTACTACCCAATCAGGGGGGTCTCTATCAGACTCGGGAAGGTATAGGAGATTGGTTGGAAAGTTGAATTATCTCAGTCACTCGTCCAGACATTTCTTTTATGGTCAGTGTGGTAAGTCAATTCTTAAATTCCTTTTGTCATGAACACATGGATGTTGTTATCTGAATTCTGAGATACATCAAATGTGCTCCCAGAAAAGGTTTAGTGTATGAAGATAAAGGACATACTCAGATAGTTGGATACTTTGGTGCTGATTGAGCAGGATCGTCAATTGATAGGCAATCCACTTATGGATATTGTGTACTTGTTGGAGGAAACCTTATATCATGGAAAAGTAAGAAATAAAATATAGTTGCAAGATCAAGCGTCGAGCCAGAGTATAGGGTCATGGCAATGACAACATGTGAACTCATTTGGTTAAAATAGTTGCTCAAAGAACTTCAAATTGAAGAAGCAAGATCAATGACACTTGTCTGTGATAATCAAGTTGCATTACACATTGCTTCAAATTTAGTCTTCCACGAGAGGAACAAACATATTTAGATTGTCACTTTATCAGAGAGAAGATTGAATCAGACAACATCGTCACAAGCTTTGTCAACTCTAATGATCAATTGACATGTGTTTACAAAAATCTATTCGAAACCCCAGAACCAATTATATATGTAACAAACTTGGTGCATTTGATTTATATGCTCAAAAGCTTGAGAGGGAGTGTTGATAATTATAAATATATATGTATACAAAGATAATATTCTCTAAAATATTCCTTAGTGTATTCTAGAATAGGATAGAATATTTATGTAATTAACAATAGAATTTGTATTTTCTCCTATATAATGCATTTTGATGGAAAGAGAAATTGCCTTATGATATGTTCATAAATCACAATACTCCATTAAATCCTATAAACCATTCTCTTTTTGCAACACTGGGTCTTTTAACCTATTGAGAATTATTTTGTTGACTAATTCGACTTGGTTAGTTTATGGATGTTCTAATGAAACAAACTTTGTTATCTGTTAAGATGGAGTGTGGTAGACCATAACAGAAAACGATGTTTTGCCATTCAAATATTCTAATCCTTTCTACTGTAATGGCAGATAGATGTCCCTTTGTAATATTGAATTATAATAAGTTTCACGACATTTTAATGTCTAATAAATGAATAATTGTCCTACTGTATATCCTGGTCCTACTTTACAAATTTCACAATTGCCATTAAAATGACAATATTATCCAAACTTTACAAAATACAAGCTCCTAAGCATCCTTCTGCTTAGTAAATTAAGCAATTATAGTGTGCACAATTTTGAAGGGCATCACGGGGTAAACAACGTTTTGTCTCGAGCATCCCCTTGGTCCTGTATGTTAGACATCTACATACAGTTCACACTGGCTACGAGCACTGGCTTACTTCTTTCCATCTTTTGCCCAGCTTAGGTCTCGAGATATACTTCTGAGGTATAGCAATGAATCAGTTCAAGATCAGGGAAACATCCCCTCAAGAAACTCATCAATGTTATCACTGTCGTCATTGTCTGTTTTATGATCATTGGCTGAAACCAAAGCCCTCTTTCCTGAAAATACATGTTAAAGCAAGTTTTAGCTCATTCTATACCCAGGCTTTCCTAGTTCTTACTAAAATAAATGACATGCACTCTGTTGAATGAATAATTAATGCATCAAGCACAAAAAATGATGCTTTATTATTTTATATTTTTATGAAAAACAGGATATATATTGCTAAAATAACGGATATCTATCCTGCAACATAAACAAATGATGAACCAAAAATACAGGCACTTTCATATCTGAGGAATACTAGAAACACTCTCTTATCAACACTATTTCTAACACTCACTCTTTTATTGGATGAGACACATGTGAATCCTATCACTTTATGTGGGACCTATTTCCAAAGTGAGTGACCCACATTTGAAAAAGTGTTAAAAAAAGTGTTCCTAACACTCTTCTTCATATCCTTATGTAAAATAGCCATCCACTTGTAAAAATATAGGAACTTCAAACCTTTTCGTCTTCTATCTTCGCTTTCTTGGACCTCGTCAAGATCATCATCACTCTTTGAACGATTCCTACAATTGAAAGGATTCGACTTCAATCTCCATATTTTCAGTAAATATGTGATAAAAAAATAAGACGGGGGAGGGGGGAGGGTTGGTGGCAGCAATGTTGTCACTTCTCACCTCTTTCTTCTATCCTGCTTTTGTTGTCTTTTTTCTAATTGCTCCCTTTCTTTCTGCCTCTTGTAGTTAAGTTTCTCTGCACATCTATTGAAAATAACCAAGAAATAAATTAAACAAACTTGATTTGGCAGACAACTTTCAACTTTTTTTTAAAAGATAGGAAAAACATACAAACCCTTAATGATGACTGAAAATGAGACACTTTGAACCAAAAAGATGAATAGCCTCAATTTTTAACACATATAGGATACAATTTACATCCTGAACACTGGAGCATTTTGGCAAATTATTGCAAATTCAATCGAAAACAATTACTGTTACAAGAATTGTTATTAAAAAAAATAGTCTTAAGTTTAGGAGTGTTATAACTAGCTGTTTGAGTTAAATTACTTTTATTCAATTATTGTCATAGATACAAATTAATGTGGTGTCAAATTACAAATTTGGTACAAGGGAATGGATTTTTTTTTTCACTGAACAATGATTAGATAATAAGATCATTTGAAATATTCTCGAGATAACTACATCAGCAGGCCATTTCAAGGCAAACCCTTAAACAAAATGTGTTTAAACTCCATAAACAAGTCACGTAGTATACAATAACCAGAAGAGGATCAAGCATTTAACAAATATAACAAGGAAGCATTATCCAGAATTGTAGAATATTAACAAAAGAATCAGTATAGAAGAAAAGGATTAATATTTCAATACATTAGTGATTTGTTATGTACGGACACATGTAATATCAATCCATAATTTCTTCATCAAATAATTGATATCTCAATACACCCATGATTTGTTATACAAACAAGAGGATATGGATTCAGAAGAAAACAATGGCATGGGCAGAGAAACCGGCATTATTTCATACTAACTCACCTCTCACATGCTACCAATTTAACTAGAGCTTGTTTGTTCTCTCCAGCTTCAAAGTAACAAAAGTTCACCTGTAATATGAAGCAAATAGAATGAATGAGTGGAAACATGTCACGGGATATACATGGATTATGAATTCTTAGCCCTCAAGCATTGTGTGTGTGTGTGTGTTAATATCATTCATGAACTACACCAGAAACCCAATTAATAAATATAATAACAAAGATAGGTCTTTTTCTTCTAATAATCACATTTACATGAAACACCAGAACTAAAGACAAACATACATTTCCAAAAAAAATTGCATAATGCATTCCTAAAACAAAACAACAATGATGCCCTTACCCACTAAATAGGGACAGTTACATAGATCAACAAATGTAATTTACATTATATTTAAAGCCAGATCTTTAGAAATTAGAATAAGCTTCTTCCTAATGGTTTTTCTGTAATGTTTTCTATGGTTCCCCTTCCCTTTTGATTGGGTTAATCTTCAATATGTCTCCCTATCTAATAGACTATTCAATTAGATTGATGAATGTAATGGGAAGAATATCTTACCTCATAGCTTGCTAATCCATCTTTCTCATTGCAATGTTTGTTACCGCATATAAACTGGCCTGTGAAATTATGTAAAACATTAATTTTAAAATTGAATAGGATTCTAAATCATAAAACAAATTAAAGGCAGCTACTTACATTCTCCACGAAAAATTAAAAATTAAAAAGGATTTCTTTGGTTGAAACAAATGGACATGAGATCATAAACAAACCTAAGTTAAATAAGTTGGAAACAAAAATTCTAAACTGAAGTGGGTAAAAGATTAAGCTGCTGAGTATAGATGATTCCACATTGGTTGCTGATGGAAAAAGGAAAAGGTTTACTAAAGTTCTACTTGAGGATGGGAGTGATTCTAGGTTATATGACAAGTGAGCACCCATTCTTAATTTGTTGGTGAGGTTACGTTTCTCTTACTAGGAGGGAGCATATTGATGGCGTTTAAAAAGTTCGTTAAATTTAAACTTCTGAGACTACATTTGGTTTTCTGAAAGGGATCATATTGATGGCGTTTAAAAGGCTCTTTAAATTATAAGTTTAATGCATGAACTACTTTGTATAACAATTGAATGTAGACTATAGAAAGACACAAACTTATAAGCATTTATTTTCTGAAATAATTCTAGTTAAACATGGTATGGAGGCCGGCGAGTCATAATCACTAAGCAATACTAGTCAGTAAAAGAATAATCAATACCCTTGCCAGACATGACTTCCTTCTCTGTTCTCCATCTGAGACCAATCTACAAAGAAGTGCAATCTATCAGCATTAAATCATCTTCGTAAAAAGATATCTTGACTACAAAATAAATCATCTACACCAGCATCCCACAAAAAGAAAGATTTCAATCTAAGTTAGTTAGTCATAAACCAAATTAAAATCTTACTTAGTAATAAAGGAAACCTTGATAATTTTTTTATCAAATTAGACCAGAATACACACACACGGCATCACAATTCAAAATGGATTGACAACTTCACAATTACAAGAAAGGAACTCATAGCACAAAAATAGAATAACAAGTTCAAAATTGATCGAAAATTTGACAGGGCGCACCAGACCAGATCAGAATACACAAACATGGCATCACAATTCAAAACGGATGAAGAAATTACAAATCATAAAATAGGTTCACAACACAGCACACAGAAAGACCAGAAGTTCGAAATTGATGGGAAAATTGACAAATCACAAGGCTCAAAATTCCTAAGGAGTGAAAATTTTAGCAAACTATCAAAAAGTATTCTAAATGCAACGAGTCACTACCTTACCACTCTTGTACTGTGACATGTCAGCAAGACAGTATCTTAAAAGGATTTAAGGTAACAAGGGAATAAGTATCTCGTAATTCAAGTGCAGAGTATGATAAGACAAATGAATAAGATATTTTTTTTCACAAAACAACCAACAAGAAACCTTAGGCCACACCCCACAACTACTTTCATAGTATGTGTAAAAATCAAATTAACATATATTTGCAAAAGAAACCACTACTCCTACAAAATTAACATTTTAGTAAAAAAAGGGATATATTTGCAATGCAAAGGATACTCTTTAAAAAGCTTGGCATAATAACGCTTCACCAGCCTTTGCTCCCATGATGGATCCATATCATCTTCTTCTGACCGTATGAATCTTGAAATACATTTGGATTATCAAACATTAAAATTCTGACACAAAAACAGACAAAGTGAAAGAGTTTCCTCCAAAAGGATCTTACGTAGAGAGGAAAATTTACTCATATATACAATTTCAATAGAGATGCACGGAAAGCCCATCTTTCCATTTCTAGGTAAAGGGTGAACTCTTAATAAAATATTCCACTAATCTTTTTTTTAATGGCAAAATAATATATTAATAGAGGTGAAAACCACTGAAGTACACAAGGAAGGGATCAGATAGCACAAGAAGTGCTAAACAAAACACCAACAATGTCAAATGACTCATGAAAGTTTTGCATAATGGATGAAGATGTATTATGATATCATAAGAAAATCCAAAAAAAGCTACAAGAGATGACGGTTAAAAATGAAAACCGAGAGTAAGGCCAATAGTTAAAATTAAAAAAAAAAATAGTGAAAATGGAAGACTAATTTCCTTGTGTTACAGAAGAAGAAAAACCATGACAAGCACCAACAATGCAGTGAAACAAAGTCCCACCAACCTTAGCTTATATAAGGCAAGATAACAAGCTTACCTGTATCCCTCTCTCAGCGTATCTTTATCTGTTTTAATAGGCAACTTTAAGGTAGAAGGTTTTTCTTCTTTCCCATAGAAACTAACTGTGGGCATGAAAAGATAATCTTAAAAGAAGTTGTGGGTTGAATATAATAATACAGTTTAAAAATACACATTAAGCTGAAATTTCCCAGAAATATTCTCTAGCAGTACCAAGATAGTAAAAGGAACTCGAAGCGTTTGTAACTCAGCATGATTGCAGTAAACTACAACTGAGACAAAAAACTTTTGTCAAAACAAGACACGGACGACAACAAAAAGAACAACAAGAGTTTTTTTAATGTGGACACGACCAAAGCCAAAAGGCCATTAGGATCAAAATCTTAGTATATTATAATATCTCTCATCAAACTTTTGACAAATCACCAAAACTGAAAAAACAAAAGTGAACCAATTCATCCCAGTCAAAAACCCATTATCAAATTTTCTCTACTGTTAGACAATCTTTTCGTTGTTGAAGTAAACAAAAACAGCATGCACAGTTACTATCAAGGAGTTGTTTGAATTTCCGGATGACTGTAGCCTCCTTCCTTTTCCTTAATGGAGAAGACTGTTCGTCATCCATTAACTGTAGGACATTAAGACCAACCAAATCAATAGCTCAAAACTTGATTAACTCCTTATTGTCCATTCCCAAACAGAAACAAAAATGGCATAAACAGAACAGCTAGAATCACATCATATGAAACATGAAATACAGGTGTGTTTAAATCTACGAACCACAGACACCAAAAACACGACACTGACAAGTAGACACGGATAATAATTTTTAAAAAAATGAATAAATTAAACTTAATTTCAAGTGTCGGACACGGACACGGATAGAGACAGATATTTACCGTAATCCTGAATGAATTTTTTATGGCGATCGTATGCGTTGAGGCCTCGAATATGCGCCTGATACTGCCTGCAATTACACTCGCAAACAAGTTAGGGTTTATCGAAGAATGAATGAATCGACGAACGAATAAGGAGGCAATAAAACGCACTGTTTTCTCTCTTCTTTGTCGAATATAGCTGATTTCAGAGATCCGAACGATGTCATGATTCCGCCGCCGCCGCCGCCAAAAGGAACCGCGATGAGATTTCGGAAGCAGGGTTTTGCTTGGGGAAGAACGCGTAAATAGCGTTCGTTTTATCTTTCATTCCAGTTTCTCGAAATGCAATATATGTGACTCATTTTCTATAGTTTAACTCTTACTTTATGTTTATTGAAAGTTTAATTCTTGTTTAGTAAATTCACTGTATTTTTATATTAATACAATTTGTAAGGAGTGTTTTCAAATTATATTCTCAAGAATGTTGTCAGGTTCTACTTTTCCATATTTGTTTTAAGCAATGTTTTGAAATTAGATTGGTATCGGTGAAGATAATGAGTCATTCATCGTGGTGAGAATAAATTATTAGATTATTGATCGAATTGTATGACTAAATAAGATAATTCGAGTGAATAAATTGATTTTTATAATAAAATTATATATATTAAATCGATCAAATCGAATGATTCAGTTTTTAAAAAATATCATAACACTTATAAAATTTCAAATTTTCAATAATTTCACATTTTTATTCTTTAAATTTAAATTTTAAATATAATTATTACTCACAACAAAATAATATAAAATACAACTTTATATAATTTGAACCAATTCTAATTGCATAAAGTTATTTCAAATAAATTTAGAATAAAGTATAGTTATATTTTATTTTTATTTTTGTAAAATTATGAAAACAGCATCATTTTTTCCAAGAAAAAAAATACGTATTTGATTCGTCGATTTTTCAAATAGTTGGTTTATCGGTTTTGTCCAATTCTCACCGGTTTAATAGTATATTCGATCCAACAATCAAATCAGATTAAATATCCTTCTAGTTCCCGGTTTGATTGATTTCTCACTGGTCGATTCGATCCAGTTTTTAAAACATTGATTTTCAATCAATATTTTAAAAATATATCAAATCGGCCGGTTGAACGGGTTGAACTGGGAACCAGAATTGAATCTGGTTCGGTCAACCTTTCAAAACTGTTAGTGGGTAAAAACAAAAAAAAATTGAATTGAACCGTCTAAAATCGTTTGAACCAAAGAACCGAGTCAAGTTTGTAAAATTATTCGGTTCAAAAATATGCATGAAATAGACTATTTTTTTATTTTTTTGAAAAATTTAATATATCAATATCAAAACTTAAAATGTTTCACGTTCACAAAAAATAATTTCTTATTTTTTTACAATCATACAAATTTCTATAAGTACTATCACTCTAGTATGATTTATTTTTCTTTCAACCATACTTCATCATCGTCACGCCGTCTCTTTTAAACGTAATTACGATATCTAACTCAATATTGATTGTCGTTCAATATTATTTTGAAATTTTTATTATTAAATTGTGAATGTATGACTGTGTATGACATATTATGAAATTTATGTTCATATTATTAATTTATTCAATAAATAATTCAACCGTAAGTTTAGTCCGTTGAATCAATTGAACTTTAAACCAAGAGTTTTAATGGTTTCACCACCAATTTAATTTTTAAAACATTGATTTCAAATTTTAACAAATTATTCTTAGATACTTTTATTTTAAAGAATATTATTTACTCATAAAATTTAAAATATTTATTTACATGTTAAAGGGTAGAAATTTTATATTCTTTTGAAGGAAAAAAACAACTATAATTACCCTTTTCTATATTATTTTAAAACCTTTTTTTAATATTTTAAATTATTAAAATTATAAATAAAATAAAATTCAAAAATCATCTTAAAAACTTTAATAATTTACCAAATAAATTGATAAGAATAAAATTCTTGAGAATGACGTTTTCTAAAATTACAATTTTAATTCGTCAATCAAACAAACCTTATAATATAATAATATATTTAACAACATATAACATAATGTCAATGGTTGATGGTGATAAATTGGTAGTGTAAAACATATTACACTAACATTGTATAGTGTATAGTAAGTAATATTGTGATATTTTTATCAACATATCAATTTAATATTCGAGATATATTTTTTTAATATTTGAATTACTTACTTATAATATTTGTTTTAAATAGGGTTTATAAACCGAATGATTTGTCCCGTTTAAATATGTCTTGTTTAAATTTGTTTAAAAATAAGATAAGACGAGACGGATCAATTTAAATATTTGTGTTCAAAATAAATCATATGTAAATATGTATCTGATCTTTATCTTAGTAGAGTCTTGCCTAATATCACTTTGCAACAATCTAACATTCACATCTTAAACGAAAAATATTAATACAATTAATATATAATTATTTTCTATAATAAATCATACAATTTTTGACAATAAAACATAAAATGGTTATTAATTAGTTGGTCAATTTTGGAGATGTTATAATATAAAATATTTATAATTAATTTGAATATTATTTAATTTTTACCTTAATAATTTATCTTATTAAATTTAAATCACATTCAAATAAAATAATATGTAATTATCAACTATAGATCTATCACTATGAAGCAAACCATATAAAGTTTTATTATTGCACACTAATGAAAGAGAAAAAAATAGAACCAATATGCATTCTCTGTTTAAACTATATTTTTCATTTATTTGATAATTTTATTAAACAACAGAGAATATGAAAAAGTTTAAAGCACTATTTGTAAAAATACATTCAAATGTTTTATCTCCTAATGAAGAATTAAGGAGTTCACTTTTAAAATATAATTGATATGTTTTTCGTTAATTATAAATTTAAAGTCTTTCCATCCTAGTTTAATTTTGTTTTTTTTTTCAATTTTGTTTTTGCTATTCTTAATTTAGTAATTAACAAGAAAATTTTAATCAATAATCATACTATATAAGTGGTCACTAATAAGCAAAACCGAAACGATTACACTTATTAATAATCAATTTAACACTGTCAATTCATAATAACTAGTAAATAATTTTCTATAAAAGAGAAAATGGTTGTAAATCCTAATATAATTTCTTTAATTGAAAAAAAAATTAAAAATTAAAATATATTTGACCTAAAATTGTTTAGAAACCAATGTAAAACAAATTAACAAGTTCTTAATACTCTTCATACCTTTTGCGTATAACAACTTCCTTATAAATATTCAAACTAACTGAGCTTCATTGAACTAACATTATACAACAATAAATTATTATTTATATATAAATATTTCTCATTTAACAATCGATTCCAATATTCAAATATAAAGATGTTAAGGGTTCAAGCATTATCAATTCTCTGTACGCCTCACCCTTTTCTTGATTTTTATTGCTTAGATTCAATTCAATATAAAGTTATCCATGCTACAACACAAAGAACCAAATAAGAGACCATGCTTCTTTTGATTTTGGTGGCTTTTTTTTCCATTAAAGATAATCTTGATCCATATTATAGCAACAAAAAAAACAAATTAACAACGATTTTTTTTTTATTTTCAAGTCTTTGCTCTCGTTCAAGATAAATCTGATTCATATTGTAACACCAATCAAGAAATTCACAATAATGATGGAGAAAATATTGAAGAACGAGAATTTACTTTTGCATGCATTGATGTCCAAGGAATTGAAATATGTGCCGATGATATATTTGAAAACGGAAAATATGAACATTACTCCCTACTTTTAACCAATCTCTTCAATTCTTCCCCACCACAAATACCAATGTTTCACATCTTTGACCTCCTCTAAAGAACATCTTTATTAAGAATTCTATAAGTCCACAATCAATATCTGATGGTATTTCTAAAAAAACTCAAAATTAGTTATTACAAAATATGCCAATGAAATCTTCAAGTGAGTGTTATGAAAAAAGTAACTCCACATGGTCATCAAATCTATGGAGATTTAGACAAAATTTGGATCTTCGAAGTAATAGTGACCATATGGATTCTTTTGTTATGTTGAATCCTACGGTGCCAAAAGCGACAATCAAACCCAAGGTAAAAAACATCATTATTAAAAAGAGAAGGCAAAAATATACTAGGAGTCCTTTAAGTTATTCTATTGTAATAAAGTGGTTCTTTAAATATTTTTTACTACAAGTGAGTCCTTTAAATTAACTAACGTGTGCATATTGACCTTTTAAACCCTTTTTTCAATATTAGATTAAACCAATCACCCAAAATACATAAAGTTGAAACAAAATACATATATTATGATCCTAAATACATAAAGTAGCATCCAAAATATATATATTCAAATCTTAATTCAACCAAAAAAACTTAAAAGACCAAGTTGTTACAAAAAAACATTAAGGACCAATCTGTTAGGATAAAATAACTTAAAGGACCCCTTAAGTAATTATGCCAAAAGAGAAAGGGCGATCAACCCAAAAATACATTATCAGCTTATGAGAAGCTTTATATGAAGAATAAAACGGGAAAGGGAGCTATAAATGAATATCATTCTTGCCATACAAACACCAACTATTGGGATTCTTTACTAATATGCACATACTGAGTAGGAACAAGCACCCCGTAACACCCTAAATTCCTCGCGTAATTATTAGATAAAATTCAAAGGAATTTAAAACATTTCAATACTCAGGATGTTACCTTCATACATACACATGCTAATCAATGTCAGATGTGTAACACATTTATAAAAACATAAAACCACATATACTTCATGTCTGAGAAATCCTTCATTTATTTACAGTGGAACACATCAACAACAATTATTCTTAACTCTTCAATATGAGTTATAGTTATCATAATTCAAGATTCAACATACACTATCAAATAAATCTAACAAATGGATTTCTACAAAAGTTTAGTCCCAACATAAACAAAACAAACATAAATATCCCCAGTGTTACGTATCAGAGCATAACGCTGACTCAAAATAACAACGAGTAACTTTCTCTACTACGGATCACCTGCACGTTACCCATGTAGAGGTATCATTCAAAGAGAAGGGGTGAGATATCATAATTATATAAAAGGAATGCATAATAACAAATAAATAGCAATTTAATTCGCATAGTCATGCATCCTTCATCTTACACCTTCCCATCACTTACAGCAATTATACGACATGT